CTGTGCTTATTCTTTAATTAATTAAAAAAAAGCTTTTACATTCATGTTTCTACTTTTAATATACGTTCGTAGGTTCTGGGTCTTCAGCTTCTGCTTTAGTTTAAATGCAAAGTTGTATTTTTTTAAATGAAGGCCTGGATGGGGTCGTATACAATGCCTTCTAAAATAATAAAATAAGCTTTTTGTATTTTTTGATGAAAGGCTACAAAAAGCTCAGCTAGGTGCCAAAGCATGATGTCACGATCTTTTAATAATAGCATTAATAATAGCATTAATTCCACAGCAGTCGTGGAATTTTTCTCGGGAACAATAGAGAAATGGTTCCCTGTTACCTTCTTTTTGGAGAATTTTCAAATTCAGGCCAGAGTCCTAATATTACTGGTGGTCTCTCATCTAAATCCCCACCAGGTGCAATTTTCTTAGCTTCTGAGTCCATCTGAAGTTGGCCCACTGTTGTCATTTTCTGAAATGTGTTCTTAATCCACACTTTTCTTTGTTAAGAAAGTGACTGTGTGCCCTCTTGGGTTCGCTAATCCAACGCTGGGCTAAATGTCTGTGGAGATTCTCAATCATCCAACTCACGGTGGTTCCAGAACTGCTTTTTCCAAAAGGCAAGTGGACTGGTGCCTTTTGCAAAAACAGACTTTGGGACACTGGGCTCCATGACAGGGCAACCTTTCAATTTCTTCAACAGACCCTTTAAAAAAGATTCCATTATTCCATTGGTCAATTCAATAGTATTTCTGAAGGGTGGATATCATGAGATAGTGGCCAGTTAGTGGATTGCGGGTGGTGAGGAGAAGACACAAAGCTCTTTTAAAACCAAGAAGGGAATGTTCAGTTCTAGTATTGTAATGATAAGACCCATTAAATCTTCCGAAAGAGCAACATTTACTCCCAAATTCTCACAACTGAAGCAAAATTATCTGTGCACAGCGAATAAGATAAAGCTTGGTGGCTCAAAATTAGTGCCCATGCACGAATCCTATGAAGGGATCCTTTCAGTGATGAAAGGGCTGTAGGATTACAATGGATGCTTTGCCTGATCCACCAGATCTTTACTTCTTGGCAAGAATAGGATGACCCAGGATAAAATTCAGTGGGATACACCATTGTAGCCACTTCCTTCTGTTTGGTACCTATTGGCTGAGAATACTTTGGTCTTGTAATTCCAATCAATCAATCAGAATAGAGCCGGAAAGGATCTCAGAGTCTTCTAGTGGAACCCCTGCTCAAGCAGGAGATCCTATACCATTTCAGACAAGTATCCGGTCTTTTCTTAAAAATCTCCAGTGTTGCAGCACCCACAACTTCTGAGGGCAAGCTTTTCCACCAATTAATTGTTCTCAGTGTTAGGAAGTTTCTCCTTAATTCCAAATTGCTTCTCTCCTTGGTTAGTTTCCAACCATTGCTTCTTGTCCTGCTTTCTGGTGCTTTGGAAAATAGTTTGACTCCCTCTTCTTTGTGTTAGCCCCTCACATATTGGAATACTGCTATCGTGTCACCCCTAGTCCTCCATTTCTCTAGACTGGCCATACCCAATTCTTGCAACCGTTCTTCATATGTTTTAGTCTCCAGGCCTTTAATCATCTTAGTTGCTCTTTGCACTTTTTCCAAAGGCTCGAAATCTTTTTGGTAATGTGGTGATCAAAACTGGATGTAGTATTCCAGGTGTGGTCTTACTAAGGATTTATAAAGCAGTACTAATGTTTCATGGGATTTTGATTCTATGCCTCTGTTCCAGCCATCCTGAAGATTATAATTTTAGAGAAGATTGAGTAGTTGAGGGTAGACCTAGAACCTCCAATCTAGATCCTCCATTTGGTCACATAATTCCATTTTCAACACCTATCTCATAGAATTGTTCCATGGTTTAAATCTAGGATTTTCTAATTTAATAGTACAGACATTGATTGTGGTGGTTCTTCAAAGCTTCAGATAGAATGTTGTTGTTGTTAGTTGAGAAGTTGTGTTCGACCCATCGCGACCCCGTGGACAACGTTCCTCCAGGCCTTCCTGTCCTCTACCATCTTCTGGAGTCCATTTAAGCTCATGCCTACTGCTTCAGTGACTCCATCCAGCCACCTCATTCTCTGTCTTCTTCTTCTATTGCCCTCAATCTTTCCCGGCATTAATGGATACAATTCTTTTAACTAGACATGTAGAAACCTTTTCTGCTTCCACGTTTGCAGATGACTTCAACCTTTTCCTAGTTCTCTTTTTGACACTACAGTTATATTCTCCACATTACAGTTGAATTCTGATGTGATTATTGTTGATTTTTTCCACGCATGCACATACAAACACACATGCCCTCATTGCCTTGGATTTATACTTCTGTGTTCTTCTGCTCTACTAATATGATTAAAAACTGCAGTGGGGCGTGAGGGCAGGACTAGGATAGAGCCCCCCCCAATTATTACATATGGTTTTCCAGTGCACACAAAAAACCTTTTTAATTGATGTCAACTCCTTACGCAGATAATTGAGTCTGTGACTAACATGTAGAATGTAAATGCAGAGAGAAAATAGAAAGTCAAGGACAATTTATTTAGATCAAGCCATGTGATTCTTTTCAGAAAAGGTGGATCAAATTGGCATTCATCCAGAACCTGTAATTTGAAAGGGTAGATTGGATTCAGAGGACTAAGGGCCTCGGGAGACCATTTGGTTGCTAGAAATAAACAAACAACCCCCCCCCCAAATCTTTTCTGCTAAGATTTTAAGAACATAGCAAAGGGTTTGTCTTCATATCACCCCTCACCTTTTGGCTAAAGGACAATGCTTGCAAGCTAATAGTCATTTATTATGTGCGGGGGGGGGGCACAGAGTTCTGATGTGACTTTCCAGGTTCTACATTTGCCCCATATTAGAATAGAATAGAATAGAATAGAATAGAATAGAATAGAATAGAATAGAATAGAATAGAATAGAATAGAATAGAATAAGAAATAGAATAGCATATGAAAATGGGAATAGAATAGAATAGAATAGAATAGAATAGAATAGGGAACAGAATAAGGAACAGAATAGAATAAGGAATGGAATAGAATAAGAAATAGAATAGAGTAGAATTAGAAATAAGAATAGAATAGAATATGAAAATAGGGACAGAATAGAATAGAATAGAATAGAATAGAATAGAATAGAATAGAATAGAATAGAATAGAATAGAATAGAGTAGTAGAGTAGAGTAGTAGAGTAGAGTAGTAGAGTAGAGTAGATCAGGAAGGGATCTTGGAGGTCTTCTAGTCAAACCCCCTGCTCAACAGGAGACCCTATACCATCTCAGACAAATGACTGTCCCATTTCTTCTTAAAAATCTCCAGTGATGAAGCACCCCCAACTTCTGAAGGCAAGCTGTTCCACTGGTTAATTGTCCTCACTGTTAGGAAGTTTCTCTTTCATTCCAGGTTGCTTCTCTCCTTGATTAGTTTCCCTTTGTTGTTTCTTGTCCTGCCCTCTGGTGCTTTGGAAAATAAGTTGACCCCCCTCTTCTTTGTGGCAGCCCCTTAGATGTCGGAAGAGTGCCATCATGGCACCCGTAATCTTTCTTTTCATTAGAATAGCCATACCCAAATCCTGCAGCCATTCTTCATATGTTTTACTCTCTAGGCCTTTAATCCTCTTAGTTGCTGTTCTCTGCATTTATTCAAAAGTCTTAACATCTTTTTTGTACTGTGGTGACCAAAACTGGATGCTGTATTCCAGGTGTGGTCTTATTAAGGTTTTATTCGAGGGTTGAGTTCACAGTGTGAATTAGATGGGGCTTAGTCGGTGAGTCTAAACACAGTGTCTTTTGTGGGAGCCAGTTTCACAGTTACTGCCACCTCCAAATCACTTTGGTTTTAGCCACAATCCAAGAGCTGAAGCATTGTGGGTTAGTAGCCTTCACAATTCCTCAATCAAAGGCATTGTCAAGGAACATTAGAAGGATTCAAAGGACAGAAGTGGTTTAAAGCAGTGACTTTTTCTTTGGTTTCAAACACAGTTTGTTCAAAGTGCACTCAGCAATGTAATGACTTGTCAATGGCTGGGAGTACTGGATGTCTTTAACAAAAGAGTAAAAACCAAGTTTTTGAAATTGAGGCCACTCTATCAGCTGGGTGAAATCTGTTCACTCAGTCTTCACAATGCAGCAATCAAATGGAGAACAGTTACATACCTTATAGCAGGGGTGTCAAACTCAATTTCATTGAGGGCGCATCAGCATTGCGGTTGCCGTCGGGGCTGGGTGGGTGTGGCCCGCTCTACATTGTTCGCATCAAGGGTGCCTGTGGGGGCCTGGGCAGGAGTGGGATAGATCTGAGGATCTCTGGCAGAAGGGGGTGGAACCAGGGCAAGGTCCACTGGAGGAGCCTCGCTGTTCCTCTCAGGCCATGCGGGGGAGTGGGGTGGGCTTATGGAGCTAAGACTGAATGCGTTTCAGCATAGATGGCCACCACAAAATTGTACATTGGCTCCCGTCCGGCCTGGGCCAGGGCCAAGGCAGCGGGGGGCCATTCCCTCACTGTTTCCAGGATGGCTTCGCGGGCCACATGAAACCACTTCGCGGGCCGCATCCGGCCCCCGGGCCTTGTGTTTGACATGTCTGCCTTATAGGAAGATCAAATGTATTAGCTGCAGGCAAATATGAAAGGAAGTCCAAGCTAATAGAAAATGCAAATAGCAAGCTATTGCAGTTCATAAACTAGTTGTTATGGGTCAAAAACCACTTCTTGAGAGATATCATCTATTTCTGTAATAACCAATCCAGATGTTGGACCAAATTCCTGCCTTGTTATTGAGCTATATTCAGCCTGCAATCGTAGGAGCTCTCCATGGTCCTGACCCACAATCACTGATTTATTACACTTCGCCCAAACTGCTTTTTTTTTTTTTCTATAAAAGGAGGAAAAATCCTTTAGTAATTCTTGTTCTTTTAGAAAACCCACTATTACCGGGTGAAAAGATGGAATTTCAGATCTTGGTTAAAAAAAAAAACTTATTTCAAAATCTCCTTTTTTATTATTCAACTGTTATTCAGCAATATACAATACAGTTTATAAACAAATGTCTTACCTTGTTTCCAATCTTTTATTTTTTTTTCTATTTAAAAATAAATATTATTGACAGTGAATATTCATCACGTTAAGATGTGCCTTTTTTTAAAACCAATGTTTTCAAAAGAAATAATTTAAAAAGAGGAGAGCGGAGGGGGCGGCAATGATAATAATAATAATAATAATTCTAACCACAAGTTTCTATTCAAAAAGAACCTTTCTTTAGAAGAGCTTTGTCTCTTCCTGTTCAACAGTTCGTGCAAAATCAATTATCAGAGGACAGGTTTTTTAAAAAAAGGAAACAGTTGTTAAAAAAAAAAGGAAAAGAGAAAATTATAGCTACCTTGTGTGAAATAGGGCATTGATGCCACAGGATCTTAAAACTAAATTTATCATGTCAGGTGGCAAACCTTTCATATAATGTCCCCAAAAATATGCTTTACCCTTCCCCTGTAGGATGTGTCATGCTTCCTCTCCATCTCTGTCCATCTTTTAAGATTGTAGTTCTTGTTGAGGGTCGTTGCATTCTTCACTTTGTTCTAATCGTGGTCTCATCCATTTGGCCGAGGATTATTGGATAAAGAAGTCCATCAGTGGTTTAATAACAAGTGTACAAGCTTATGCAGCATGAAGAGGAACGTACAGAAGAATGAGTGAGTAGCATAAATAGGTTCTGTACCTAAGGAAAAAGAGAACGAAGGAAAAGTAAAATACCAGAGGAGGGAAGCAGGGAAAAATAAACTTTAATTTGGGCAAAAGTTAGGAGGTTATTGGCATAGCATTTAGGACAGAATTATTGGTCGATGACCTTGTTGCGATCTGGAAGAGAAAGTCATGGAAATGATAAGAGATACAGATAGAAAAAGAGATAACAGAACAGCAGAGTTGGAAGGGACCTTGGAGATCTTCTAGTCCAACCCCCTGCTCAAGCAGGAGATCCCATATCCTTTTAGACAAATGGTTGTCCAATCTCCTCTTAAAAACCCCCAGTGATGGAGCACCCACAACTTCTGAAGGCAAGCTGTTCCACTGGTTAGTTGTCCTCAGCAGAAGGACATTTCTCTTTAATTCTAGGATGGATCTCTCCTTGATTAGTTTCCATCCATTGCTTCTTAGCCTGCCTTCAGGGGCTTTAGAAAATAGGTTGACCCCCTCTTCTTTGTGGCAACCCCTTAGATATTGGAAGACTGCTATTATTTCTCCCCTAGTCTTTCTTTTCATTAAACTAGACATGTCCAATTCCTGCAACCGTTCTTCATATGTTTTAGCCTACAGTCCCCTAATCATAGATAGATATAGAGATACTGAGATAAACAGAGACAGAGGCAAAAGATAGGAATAGAGAGGGATAGGGACAAAGATGGTAGAGGTAGAGATAGAGAGTGATGGGATGTGTGTGTGTGTGAGGGAAACCCACACAGTAAAAAACAGACATGGCAAGATAGTGTATTCAGCCTAAAAATAAAGTTATATACAGTATGTGCATCCATTCCCCATCTCATAATTTGGAGTCTAGAGATGGAGATATTTCAAAATGAAGAATTGTGTAGAGATCCAGGAAGGGTCAAAGAACAGAGCTGGAATGGTAAGAATTTCAGATAGCTCCACCCATTCGTAAATTACCTGTCTGTCTGTATATTCAGGGGCTTTGATTATAGGTAGTCCTTGCTTAGCAACTACACTGAGGACCAGCAACTTGTTAAGCGAAGCAGTGGCTTAATGAAACCATGACTGTTTATGATTGACTTCAGCTTTGCTTTGCTTTACAGGCCTACAAAATGAGAGGGTTGTTTGCCAAGTTACTCCTTCATCACTGCTGAATCTGCAAATGGTTGCTTAAATGAGGCAGTCGCTAAACAAGGATTACATGTATTCACAAAATTGCTGCCGCAAGGGCTCATTTTTGATTTTTGAGAATGCCTCCATGTCAGATGCAGAGTTCAAAAAGATTCTTCAGATCAAGATAATATGAGAGGCATCCTGCTTTGCAGCGTGCCAGCTTCCCTTTTAATTTTTATTTCTAATTAAATCAATCTTTTAAAAGCAAGAACGGAAGCCAGGTAACCCAACGTGGATGGCATTGCCTGCTGCTGCATCTAATAGAAAACAAGTAGGTGAAATCTGAGATCTCAAAAACTTTCTGCAAAAGGAGAGTGGCAGGCTACCTGATGATGGCGCTAGAGAGCTGGAGCTTAGATCTACAATATATAGTCTGCAAAAACATACATGACCTCTAGATGGCAGAAAAGACAGACAAAACCTCCAACATTGTGAGTTCTCCTGATTTTTTTTTTTTTTTTTTTTAGCCGACAGTAATAAATCCAGTGCGGTAGAAAATCAATTCCTAGGACCTAGGAGCTTCTGATTCTTACTCCTGTCCTTAAAATTCTGAATGATAAAGAATAAATAAAGCCAAAAAAAGCAAGATGGATAGATAAATAGATAGATAGATAGATAGATAGATAGATAGATAGATAGATAGATAGATAGATGACATATGCATAAAATAAAACAATTGGCTATTTTTAAACAGCTAATTCTTGCAAATGAATTAGCCCCCAAAATAGCTGATAGGACTGTCTCTTTTTAAAATATATAGCACTGGGTTGGCACCGAGCTTCCAGGAAACTAAAAGACAATGTGGCTTGATTCCAGCATTTCTTGATTAATAGGATGTGAACCAATGTTGTCTTTGGCCAAGGGGAGCAAGATTCACCTTGACAATTTCCATTATAGGAAGATAATACATTTTCTGGATAGGCTATACATATACCAAGTTAAAAACAAATAAACCCATACGGGATAAATAAATCTAGACCAAGGGCCTGAAGGACAATTAAAGAATGTGCGAGTCAGTAAGCACAAAATACAGAATGCTGGAGAAGATAAGCCTTTGGCTGATGTGGTCCGACTTCTTTATTGATTATGTTCCTTGGGGCAACATACATATTTCTCTTCCTTGCCAGATTTTACGCTCTGCACTCCTCTGAAGTCAAGACTGTGAAAATATGATTAATCTCAACTGCACCATGAATTTCATCACTGGGTAAAGGTTTGAACCCAGAACTTTCCAGTCTTAATTCAAGCTGTTCTTTCCATAGTTTCTGCTTTTCCATCCCATTCATCTCTTAGATGAAGTTGCCTAGTGGTTATGTCTGGAAAAGACAGGAACATGGCAGCTTTTTTGGGGGGTGACCAAATGGCTAGCAAGATTAATCATGTCATGGGATGCAAGCATCTAGATAGCTTTTAGATATAAGTCAAAGCTTTCAGTTTTCTATATCTCTTTGCTACCATCTTGTAGTTCTTGATGTTTTTGCAGCCCAGAGATGGTCCTGAGGATGAATCATAATATTTGATGGACAAACTCTGGACTGGAAACCTGATGTTCTTCAGATCTTCTGGACCTTAACTTGTCAATCCCTGCTCCATTGACTCAGTTTGCCAGGGCTCATGGGATAGAAGCATAGGGCTTGAAGAGCCCTTGGAAGTCTTCTAGTCCAACTTTCTGCTCAAACCAGAGACCCTAAACCAGTGGTTCTCAACCTTTTTAATGCCACGACCCCCAACCGGTCGTAAGTCAAGGACTACTCAACTGGTGCAGCACCGTTTGCAGAATGGGACTTTTGGCGGGCTCAGCAGGGCAGAGACAGCCTGGACAATTCCTATTGGCTTTTGAAAGCCAATAGAATTAGACTCTATTCAAGAGAGTCTATTCTATTGGCTTTCAAAAGCCAATGGAATAAAAGGGAGTAGCACAGCTAAGGAAAAGGGGGGGAATGGCGGACTGCGTTGTTTGGTGACCCCCGTGAAATGGTCGTTCGACCCCAAATGGGGTCCCGACCCACAGGTTGAGAACCACTGCCCTAAACCATTCCAGACATAGAGTTGCCCAATCTTTTCTTGAAAACCTCCAGCGATGGAGCATCCACAACTTCAGGAGGCAAATTGTTCCATTAATTAATCCTTCTTACTGTCAAGAAATTCCTCCCTAATTCCAGGTTGCATCTCCCTCTGACGAGCTTCCACCATTGCCTCTTGTCTGTAGGGGAATCTGTAGCCTCAAACATCTGGAGTCTTGTCAACCCCTTTACTAGTTGGTGACCCATTGCGCTATTCCAGCGCAAAGCAGTATTTTGTAGCCCAGTACATGAATGAATTTAGGATTAAGACTGTAATTAAGACCTAGGAGCCCTGGTGGTGATTCAAATGGCTGTATTGCAGGCTGTCTCTGCCCACAGCGAATAGTTTGATTCTGACTGGCTCAAGGTTGACTCGGTCGTCTAGCCTTCTGAGGTTGGTAAAATGAGGACCCAGATTATTGGGGCTAATATGCTGACATTGTAAACCACGCAGAAAATGCTGTGAAGCACTGTTGCAGACTAACACATTGTTCACTGCCAGCAGTTCGATCCTGACCGGCTCAAGATTGACTCAGCCTTCCAGCCTTCCAGCCTTCCGAGGTCGGTAAAATGAAGACTCAGATTGCTGGGGGGCAACAGGCTGACTCTGTAAGCCACTCAGAGAGGGCTGTAAAGCACTGTGAAGTGGTATATAAGTCTAAGTGCCATCACTATTGCTAAATACTATTGCTATTGCTAAGTTCCGGCTTTGCCTTGGTTGATCGTTCAGCTCAGCTCAAGGGAAGCAAAAAGGGAGAGAGAAAAAAACAGGAAAAAAATACACTCTTCCCTCTTGGTGCTGTCTTTGAATGTTTTTATTAAAAAAAAATCTGTCAATCGATATCACTCAGCCTCAAGTGTGCTGCTCTCTTATTAGATTTCAGTGCAATCCAATTTGCAGCACTTTGGAAAGTTTTCCAAGAAGCCCCTGGCAGGAAAACAGCTAACCTCCTTTGCTCGTGGGCAATTTTTAATTAAAAGCTTTGCATAATTTTTGGTACCGGTTGCCCTTCGGTGGCTTGGCTGTGTTACCAAGAGAATCGGAGGATTTGCCTCAACCCCCAGATCTTGTTTCTTGGGTTTGTTTTTTTTTAAAGAAAAACTAACCAGCACCTGCGTAGATCCTCACCTATTGCTTCCTGAAGCCAGAAAGTGGAAAAAAAAAAAAGATAACTCTAAATCGTATAGTCAAGGCCATGGTTTTCCCAGTTGCAATGTATGGCTGTGAATGTTGGACCATAAGAAAGGCTGAGCGCAAAAGAATGGAGGCCTTTGAATTATGGTGCTGGAGAAGACTCCTGCAAGTCCCCTGGACTGCAAGGCGATCAAACCAGTCAGTCCTAGAGGAGATCAACCCGACTGCTCTTTAGAAGGCCAGATCCTGAAGTTGAAACTCAAGTACTTTGGCCACCTAATGAGAAGGAAGGATTCACTGGAGAAGAGCCTAATGCTGGGAAAGATGGAGGGCAAGAGAAGAAAGGTACGACAGAGAAGGAGGTGGCTGGATGGAGTCACTGAAGCAGTAGGTGTGAACTTAAATGGACTCCAGAAGATGGTAGAGGACAAGAAGACCTGGAGGAACATTGTCCGTGGGGTCGCGATGGGTCGGACATGACTACGCAACTAACAACAACAAACCACCCATTTCTGATGATATAGAGGTAATCCTTAACTTACCACCACAACTGAGACATTTGTTAAGTGAGTTTTGCCCCATTTTATGACCTCACTTGCCACAGCTGTTAAGTGAATCACTGCAGTTGTTAGTAACATGGTT